ATCCTGGGCGGAGGCAGGCCCCAGCGCTCGGGGATGGGGTTTTCCTCCCACCCTGACCTAGATAGGCGCCTGGCCTAGCCCGGGCGCATTTCCCATCCCCGCCTAGGGTTTCCTCTCAGTCATTTGTTTACCAGAAACGTTGAAAAGTGCCCGTCGGGTTGGAATTGCGCCTCCCGGGGCCCCACATTCCTCCAGTGAAGTCTGCGCGCCTCCCCAGCCAGGCCCCGAGTTCCTTGGACCCTTTCACTGCGATGGTGGAGTGAATGGAGGACGAGGGGCCCCGAACCTATCTCTGACTGCTGCCTCCCGGGTCCCCGCGCCCCCCCCCCCGCCTTTTCGCACCCCTATTAAAGCTCTCTCAGACGCCTGCGCCTCGCTCACGTTCACTCTCTCACTGTCGCTCCCACTTGCTGACTTCCTCTCCCTCTCTGGGTAACGACCACAGCGCAGCGGGAGGGGCAGGCTTGAGCGCTTAAGGGCCATTCTGGTCCCCTCCGTGGGTCCCCTACTCTGAGTGGCAAGATTTAAAGCCCTTTCGGTGCCCCCAGGAAACCAAGCCTGGGCCACTTAACACCCCAGCCCCGTGGAAACACCAAACAGCAGCTTTTGGTCACAGATTTAATACCGCGGTCTCGGCCAAATTCAGGCGGTCAAACAGCCAAGCAGTCTCTTGACCCCCTCCCGATGTGCATCCATGCTTCTTTGCTTTAACCAGGGCCCTAGGGGCCCGCGGGGGTGAGGCTGGCTGGCGCTGCTACGCAGGGCCGTGCCAGAGGCATACATAATAAGTGACATAAAATGTCTACACACATAAGTAACGGTACTTAGGGTTTCTGCAAGGGCCACCAAAGCCCCAGTTGACGGGTGGGCCCAGTGTCATGGGCAACGCTGCAGGCGGCTGCGCAGGTCCTCAGCGCAGCCATCCAGCCCCATGCGTTCCAGCGCCGCGTAGATGGCGCCTAAGCCCGCGGGCTGCTGCTGGCGCCAGCGCTTGAGCATCTCGTACTGCTGGTCGCGGAAGCGTCCCACCTCCACCTCCACGGCCTCGATCTCGGCCTCTCGCAGCCCGAGAGTGCGCACGAACTCCTTCCAGCGCCGAGCCGGCACCGCGTCCATCACGTCGTAGAACTGCGGGCCCAGTTGGAGCATGGCCACCGAGCCTGCAGGGGGCGCTGGCGAAGGCTGCGCCAGGCCTGGGGACAAACCAGAGAGCCAGTGGGAATGCGGTCTGTGGCCAAGGGTCAAGGAGGTCCACCAAGTTAGTTATAGAATGGGGAGTGGGCAAGCTCAGGAAACCAGAGCGTTTTTTCGCCTCGGACTTAGGTGCAAAGGCCTCAGGCCACTGAAGTCCCTTACCAAGAGCTCTGCTGGGCAGCTGGTCCCAGGACCATGGCACCCCTGGGCAGGGAGCTTCCTGGGTCTGAGGGGAGCCAGAGGTCCAGCTGTTGCCTTCCAACTGGCCGGCGCAGACCTTCTCACTGCCGCTGGATGGCACCAGAAGGGTGTGGGCACTATCTGGGGGTAAGAGGTGGGTGGCCTGGAAGCCAAGAGAGGCCCCAGGTCAGCCCTGCTTGCGTAGTATAGTCCCTCTGCTGGAGTCTCTGGTCAGCAAACACCCCCCACTGCTACCACCCCTGGGTTGGCCATGTTCTCTCACCTGGCCCAGTGGAAGAGCTATGTCCTCTGCCTGGAGTACCCTGCCTCTGCCCTTGCCACGGTGGCACTCATCCCACTGAACTGTTAGCTCCTGTTTACCTGTGGACCCCAGCTGACTGGAAGCCAGCCGCCTGAGGATAGGCACTGTGCTGCTCTCATTCACTAATAACTTGGCACATGTGTTTATTAGCTCTACTCCATGCCAGCCACACACTGGGGGCTGTGAGTTATAATAAGGCCCAACCTCTCAGCTCCAGAAGGCTGAGGCCCAGGTGCTTGCTCACCCTCTTCCAGAGCATTACTGAGATTCTTACCTGCAGGGTAGTCAGGGGCTCCATCCCAGCTCTGTCTGCTGAAAGAAACAAGAGTGTCTAACCAGCAACTAGGCAGGCTCCTGGACCTGAATGCTGGTCCAGCTTCTCTTGGGTTCCTCTATGCACGCATACCCCCAGGACTCCCTCCCTCAACTCCCCCCTCTGCATCAGGGCTGTGTGGGCCCTGGGCTACTCATCCTGAACCCAGTTTCCTAAGAGTGGGTGTGTGTATGCATGTATGTGTGTGTGTGTGCACACATGTGCTTACCAGGAACCATGGGCATGCAGGGCTGGCAGCGGCGGTATGTGTAGGTCAGGATGACACCGAGCAGGAGTGGAACCACCAGGCCTGCCAGGAGCACCTGGACCCAGAACACTAAAAGAGCAGTTGGTGGGTGGTAGCCACCCCCAACCTCCCCTTGACCCAACCCAGCTCTCCCACTGTGTTCCCAGCACATGACCTACTCTGCCTCCAGCCACAGACTGCCGCACAGGACTCAGGACAGCTCCAGAGAGTGCTCCTGCAAGGGGAGGGGTCAGGGTGGGGAGGTAAGGGCCCACACACAGGAGGTGCTATCCAGGACTGCCTGACATCATCTACAGCCTGAAGGCCCTTCCCGTCCAAGGTCTCTTCCCTGGGGCCCTCACTCTATTCAAGAATGTTTCTGAAGTACTGCTGAAATGTCACATGTCCCCAGTAACAATATCAACAACCATGATTTATCGAGTTTCTTCTAGACCAGATTGAGGGTGACTAGAATGTCAACTCCATAAGGCCAGGATTGGCCAATTTTGTTCCGTCGTATCTGCAGCACCTGGAACAATGTCTGGAAATGGGAGATGCTCCGGGGAGGACCTACTAACATCCCCATGTTCAGATGGGGAAGCCACACATTGGAGTGGTGAAGTTACTTGCCCAAGATCCTCCAGAGAACAAATGGCAGGCCCTGAATCCCAGCCCAAGTTCCAAAACTATACCAATGTATAGTAAGCAACAAATCCTATTCCTAATGTCCAGCTGGAAGGATTACTAAAGGAGCCCTTATTTATCTGGCATAGGTGAATCCAGTTTGCCTGAAGTGCGGCCCACCCACCATAGGGCCAAGCTCCCTCCTCCCTGCCCCTGGACCCCACTCTGCTCCCAGCTTCCCTCCCCCCTGCCCAGGGCAGCCAGGAAGTTACGTGGGGCAGGACACACAGCTGTGGCCATATTCATAGAAGCCAGGCATACAGGTTCCACATTCAGTGTCTTTGCTGGAACCTGCAGTCCAAGAGATGCTGTGGGTCAAGATGGGAGAGAGGGAGGTAGGGAGAGGGAGGTGTGGGGGTCAATAGCCCATATTTGGGGTACTCACAGGACACCCGAGTGTGGCGGTGCAGGGCTCTGCAGTCTAGGCACGGGCGGCAGTGGAAGGGTGAACCGCTGATGCAGTGCGTGACCAAGCACTCCACAAACCAGCCTGGCTTGCAGCCGCATCTGGTGTTGGTCACTGCCGAGCAGTTCTCCAGGGCCACCTGGGAGGCTGGTGGGGGCAGGGACATGGGGAGAACAGGGGCAGTGAGATGCAGACTCTCCCATGGAGAGGTGGAACAGATCCCAGGAAAAGCAGAGACAAGGACAGATCAGAGACAGGGCCACCCCAAAAGAAAGAGAGGCACAGAATCACCATAGACCAGACACTGAGGTGTGTACAGAGACAGGAAGGTCACAAGGAAGAAAAGGGCACAAAGGCAACCTGAGGGTAGAGGGGCCTGAGATGGGTGATCACAAGGCCCTCACACCCAAAGGTGGCCGGAGCCAGCCACTTCCTTCAGAAAGACCCTGGCCACAGTCTGTCCTCAGGAGCCCCCCACTGAACACTAGGCAGCTCCTCACCCTGCTCATAACAGGCCTGGCAGCGAATACAGCTGGTCTCATGGTGGTTCTCCCTGGCCAGGAAGGTGCCCCGGGGGCACGGAAGGCAGGTGACATTGCCACAAGGCTCTGTGCAGCGGGCAGCTAGGTATTGCCCTGTGGAACCCAGGCTGGGGTCAGGTAGTGAAAGGGGGCTCCCACCTTCCCCTCCCTCCCTTCCTATCTGTGGGTCCCTGCTTCTCTCCCAGCCTCCCCTCACCCCATCCCCGGCCTGCTTGCCCCCTTCACCTCCCCCCCTCAACCCTGGTCTGCCCTCACTTCCCCCCACCACACCCCTCCCACTCCTTCAGTCACTCACCTGCTGGACACCCCCTGCAACAGAACAGACCATTCCTCTTCTGAAAGTTGTGGGCACAGTCACACCTGGGGCTGAGAGTGCTGCCTTGACCCAGGGCGCCCAGCAGTAGTAGTAGGAGGGCCTGGGAGACAGGTGCTGCTGGCTCCAAGCATGGCTTTCCCACATCGGGGCCTCTCCCTAACTTCAGAGGCCCCAAGATTTTGCCCTCAGAGCAGCCCACTTTTCAGGTTCTTGAGCAGATGGGGTGCCCACAGGTTGGGGGTGAGACTAACTTCCTTCCGCCTGTGCATAAGCCAGGCTTTGGAGAAGCAGAGGAGAAGGTTCCTCCAGCCCCTCTCACACGGTTTCCCTCCACCAGAGCAGAATCAGACAGCCCCGTCCCCACCCGTGCTGTGCTTTTTCTAAGGTGGTGAGGGACCCTGATCTTCCTCTGCCTGGGGCCTCCAGACCCCTTGGGCCCCTGGGTGTTTCCTTTTATCGGAAGGGCCTGCCCCTGCTGAGTCTCTAACTAGGGGGGGAGGGGGAGGGCGCTGCCTAGCCCCCAGCAAGTCTGGGAGCAGAGATTCTGATATTCAAGGGAACCCCTTCCTTCACTGTGCAGATCCACGCCCAGAGATTTGAGGCCGCCGGCCACCCCCCGGGTTCCCCACTCACCGTAGCCGCCACCAGGGCACAGCCCCATGGCTGCCGCTCCATGGCCCCCGCAGCACGGCTCTGGGCCCTCCAACGGGACAGACGTGTGCTGCGGGGGCTTCCCCACTCTGCCCACTCTGCCCGCCCTGCTCACCACGGTTCCGGCACAGCACCCAGCCTGCCGCCGCAGGGCCCGCCCCTGCCACCCCAGTGAGCCTGCCTCAGAGGTGGAGTACAGGGCAGGGCCCTCAGGGGCCCTGGAAGTGGAGCCCTGAGCCTAGGGGTGTGGGGGTGGGAGCTGTCCCCAGTGCACCTGGGCTCACCTGAGGTGGCCTTCAGGCAGCAAGGTGACAGGGCTGCCTCTGGGTCGCACACCTGGGTTCTAGCCCCAATCCTGAGACCACCACTCCGAGATGAAGTAATTTCCTTCACTCTGGGCCTCAGAGCAGGTGGGAGGCCCATCCTCCCCAGATACTGTGTGGGTGTGGGTACAGGGGACCCCTCTCCCGGGGTGGGGAATCCTAGGGAGATTCCCAGTGAGCCTGAGACAGGCCATACACCCTGGAATAAGCTCACAGGGGCACCCCAGGGCAGGGTCCTCTGAGGCACCATGTGGAGCTCTAGTGGTGGATCTCATGGCTGTGGCAGGGGACAGGGTTGATCTTGGGGTGTTGGTCTGGTGACCTCTGCCCACTAATTCACTTCTGCTTCCCACGGTCTCTTCCAGAGGTGCCCCACCAAAGATGGAAGGGGACAGGAGCTCAGTTCACCTGAGTCCTGAAAGGGGTTCCAAAAGCAAAATACTCTTTCCAGTGGAGTATATACAAGTCTTTATAAAAGAATCAAAAGCTCAATAAATATGCAACTTTACACAGAGCCCAACCCAAGCCTGGGGTGGCCCATGGGACTGAGAGGGAGAGGCGAGAGCAGGTGAATGTCCCATTTGGGGCCAGATGAGGGTAGAGGTGGGTAGCCCTGGAGACCAACCCAGTGGACTGGAGCTGGTAACTTCAGGGAGTAGCGGACAAGGACTCCTGCTGGGTAGGCAGGGTTGAGGGACAGGTTAGTGAAGGTGAGGACTGTAGGGGGTGGTCCTGGGGGGTACTGCAGCCTGGGCCTGGGACTCTGCCAAACCCTCCTCCATTTCCATCGTCTGGCAAAGTGCAAATCGGCCCGGGGAGGTGGCAGGGGTGTGCCCAGCACTTCGGCTTGTGCACACACAAAGCAGCAGCTGGAACAGGGGCCGGCACACCCCAGAAGGCATGCTGTCTGCTGTCCTGTGGTCAGTGGCACCCTTGGGGGCCTCCCTCTGCTCAGACCTCCCTGCAGGAGAAGGGAGGGGAGAGACAGTCCTTCTTTTGCTGATGCCACTCAGAGGGACTCCGCCTATCCTCTCTTCCCCATCAGAATTCTTAGACCCCTTCACCACTGTTCACCAGGGACATCCTCACCCAGTCTCTGGGGCAGGCCTCAGGCTCCCTCTTCCATGCACATCCCTAGATGCCATCTGCTCCCAGCCATAACAGTGCCCCTACCCACTCCCAGGGCTCAGTGCCCCCAATGCCAGCATGCTGGGACACCTGCCCTCTCTCTACCCCAGGCCAGGCCACTCACGAGGCAGTGAGAGTGGAGTTAAGCAGCAAGGTGGTCCTGATTCGGTAGAGCTGGGCCAGCGTCAGCTTCCTGTGTTGGGCAGAGATCCCTGGGGGGTGCTCAGGTTGGACCCTGGGTGAGGCTCCCAAGGGCAGTTCTCTGCTCCTCCTGGCAGGTCCTTCAGGCTCCCCAGCCAGGCAGGTGGTTCTGCCCTCCATCTCTGATGGCTGGGAGCCACTGCCAGGGCTTGGTGCCCCCCCACAATTCCAGCTGGATCCAGCGTCCTGAGGGGAGCCCTGAGTCCTAGTGCCTGTGGCAGCTGCGGCCAAGCAGAGTTCCGACAGGCTGCGGCTGGGGACTGGGGGCACTCCATGGGTGGTGGCCCCTGACAGCAACTGAAGGAGGCTAGCCTCAGATTTGGACTTGAGCAGGTGGGGCAGACGGGGCAGCAACTGGACAGGGGTGCGGCGGCGTAGGCGGGGCGAGGGTGGGGGTGAAGGGGCTTGTGGTAAATCTGGGGGCTGGGGCGCTGGTTCCGTCATAGGAACTGGGGTCATAAAGTCTTGCAAGGAGGTGGGGGAGAGGGTGCCATAGGCGGAGTCCATGGAGCAGGAGCAGCCATCCCCGGGGCCCAGGGGTAGCAGCTCGCTGGTAGGCGTGATGGATGAGGCAGTGGTACTGAGAGACATCTCGTCTGACTGGGAGCTGAAGGGGCCGCCCTCGAACTCAGGAGAGGACAGAGCCTCCCCAGGCTCCACCACAACCATGGCCAGGGTCTCTGTGGAGCCATCCGAGGCACTGTGGGGCCAGGAGGAGAGAGTCAGCCCAGACAAAGGATACCTAGCTGGCCCAGTACAGCCCTGTGCTGGGCAATGCAGAGGTTTACAGCCTCTGCCCTCCCTTCAACTGAAGCTCAGAGATGGCAAACGTGGCACATGCCCCAGATCCCCTAACTCCTGTGCCCACAACAGACATCAGTAATGGCACCTGTCACCATCACAGAGCTCTTTCCTATTAGACACAGCCTGAGAGTCCTCAGCTCAGTTCCAGGCAGCTGCTAATGAGTCAGAATTGGCTGTCAAATTGAAAATCCTTTACCATCCCCGCCTGGACTCTGGTGGAAGACAGAACCCACACCCATTTCCTGCTGGGTTCACAACGTGAAGCCATTCAAGGGAAGGGGTCAGAGCTGGGCCCTGCCCAGTGTCTGTGGCCTTGGGGTCAGGAGTCCTCGGCTGCAGAGCCTGCCCTGCCCTGGACAGCTGGGTGGTCCTGGGCAAGCATACCAGTGCTGAGAGTCCAGGCTGTGGCTGCTTCTGCGCAGGATGGTGGGCGAGCTGGCAGCCGAAGTGCTGCTGTCCCCGCCTTCCTCCTCCTCCTCGTCTTCCTCATCCTCCTGCTCCTCCTCCTCCTCCAGGCTCTGCAGGTGCTGCTGGCCGCCCGAGTGCTCCTGTGCACGCAGCTGCTGCAGCTGGTTCTGCAGGCGGGGTGGCGGGGCACGGGGCAGAACGGGCTGTGAGCCATCGTCCTCGCCAGGCTGCCCTGCCCACAGCACATCACTCTGCGCTCACCTGGGCATTGTAAATGGAGTCCACCCAGCCACGGCACAGAGCCTGGCCGCTGGCCTGGAAGGTGTAGGCCCCCACGGCGCTGTGGAACTCGTTCAGGTAGATGAGCAGGAAGGAGCCTAGTTAGGAAGAGAGCGAATCAGTGTCAGCTAAGGCCCTGCTCATCACAGCCCTTGTTCAGAAGCAGGGGGTGGGCTTCTTACCAGGGTCCCGCAGCTCCCGGCACACAATCTTGTCTACTAGCAGTGGTGGCCTGATGACCTTGGTCCTCTCAGCCTTCTTCACTGCCTTGGTCACCAAGAGCAGGTCCGTGAAAAGGAAGCAGTACACATCCATCTGGGTGGAAAAGGGGGGCAGGAGAGGCCAGGGGTCAGAGCCAGGGTCCTGGGGCCTCAGGCAGGGACCCTCAGCTTGTCTGCTGCAACACCTCCTCCTGGGGGTACTCAGACTTTGTCAAACACCTCCCCTGCTCCCATCACCATGAACCTGAGAACAAGATGATTTTCTTTCATCAAGCTATATACTTGTGACTTATTTCAATTAAAACTTGACATTAAAGGGGAAATGGGAGGCCCAGCCAGAATGGCTCAGTGATTGAGCGTTGATCTATGAACCAGGAGAGCACAGTTCAATTCCAGGTCATGGCACATGCCCAGGTTGCAGGCTCCATCTGCAGCAGGGAGCGTGCTGGAGGCAGCCAATCAATGACTCATCACTGATGTTTCTCTCTCTCTTTCTCCCTCTCCCTGAAATCAACAAAGACATATTTAAAAAAGGAATAAACTTTAAAAAAATAAAAAAAATAAAAAGGGGACATCTAATACTTTCAACAATAAAGATAAATTAAAAAAAAAAAGAAGGGAGTTAATTTTAAAATCATGATTTGCAGGCTCTGGGTTACACCACACCTGAAGAATTACTAGCTTGGTAGCAAGGGTCTGGGTTGTTCC